TTTTTTTTCCTGTCCCACGATGCTAAAACCTTTCTATTTTATTTTCATTTTCTTGTCTTGTCCCGCGGTACTGACATCTCAATTTCTGATTCACCTTTTGTACAAAAATGTCCTTTTATTTTTATGTCTGTCCCATTATTAACTATGTCTCACCTAGAGGTGAACAAAAAGGGATTTCTCCGCACAATATATTGACATGTTACGAGAGACCTTTCCAAGGTGTACGGCTAAAAGAAGAAATTAAAATAACAGCAAGGAAACCCAGCATTTGATTGAAAAACAAATTCTCTGAGCAACGTGGCGAAAACAGTTGAGAGAATATCAATATTGAGATCTTTGGAGTAAAAGAGTTAAGTTCTTAAACAAGAATGTGACCAACATCTTCATTTACAATTTTCCACTTTCAGATGCGGAACTAGAGAAATTGATCCTCTCAACATATTGAGGAGATGCTCCATATTTCAGGAATAGAGGACTTTACGCGACTCATCTTAACTGTTACGCTCTTGGAGCCATCTTCTGAAAGGATTCGAGGTACTCGTGAAAGGTCGAGACGGAGTCGACGGCTTGCTTAACTCTCAAGATTTTCATAATTCGCCCCAACTACCACCATACGTTTAGATGAGGCTAGATCATCTAAACGTCATCTCAAAAATACTCGTTTTTCTAAAACTCCATAACGACCGTTTTCACGAGCTCTCATCTACACATACCAATTGACCAATAAGAGTGCGGCTAAACGGTAGTGGAATCAACACAAATGGGAACTAATTAAAGATTTTACGGTTATTTGCAGTGGAAGAATCTCTTTCAACGCCAAATTCTTAACATTCGTTTGCGTGTCTTAAAGTGGGCCAACGTTCCTCGTTAACACCTAATTTTACCTCTTCCAGACACTTTTCAGTTTAAAAAAATTGTCATCCCATTCGACTTTGTCCCTTTTTCTAACAATAGGAGTGTAATGCAGTGCTTTGAAACGATAACGACAAAGTGTGGTCATGTAGCAAACGTAGTGTGCTCATAGTGTTTGAATTGGAGCTAATTGAGTGATTAGTTGTTTTTATCTCTCGTTAATAAAACGTTTTCATAATTTACACTATCCTGCCTCACTTTCCTAGACAACACTTTAGAATTGATATTGGCTTTGGCGGAAAAAACGTGCAACTCAATGAAAACTTCGCCAATTTGATCTGTTGTGCGCAATAATTACTGATCAAAGCCGACCATTTCCTCATTCTTAAAGGAAAGATTTCCCCTTCGTCTGTACAATTATAAATATGACTGTACGATAGATACTGATAAGATGAAAGTTTTAGTCAATGAATGAACTGTAAGCTGATGGTTGAAGTGATTGACTTTCGGTTTAAATAAGAAAGCCTTTGTTTGCGAAGTTTAGACTTGAATAGAGCTAACGCAATTAGAGACAAAAGAGTTTCCCGCTATAGTATAACGACGTAGAACTAATTGGCGTCTCTTTTGCACTACTTTTCTTAGATATTTAAATCTTCCGGATCCAGATTGCGACATAAATATAAAAACCTGAAATAATGGCGAAAACGCGATAGAAAATCAGTTGTATAGTTGGCGAGGAATTTAGGGTTATTTCGACGCCTTTTGCACACACTTAAAAACGCTTGTAAACATACCGCTGTTATCTCTAAGTTGGCAATATTTGGTTAACACTTGTTTTGGACTGCTTGGTCGAATACAAGACAAATATAAAGTGACAAAAGACACACTTGCCGTAAAGGTAAACCTCATTAAGAGGTTGTTAGGTTGTTTTTAAAGAAAATTGAGTGTTTGGGATTTTTTTGTCGCTTTAGCTTCAGCGATAATTGAGTTGAACAAACTTTGCACTTGTTGTAATGGTTTTTGTAAATAGATAAACCAATTTGTCGGCACCATCAGAGCTTTTAATGTATGGCACTCGTTATCAGTGATGGGAAACTTCTGGAATTAAATCAAATATATCTTGATATATCCTTTAGATATAATTGATCTTTTATGAGCCCAACAAACCCTTCTAGCGCGTGTAAAAACTCGAAGACGATCAGACAATAGTATCTGTTCAACGATTCTTTATATCGCTTATACAATAAATTACATTTTATTTTACATATCAAAGTAATTTCCATCGCGTACTTTGACTTTTATACAAGAAGGTTTCGAAGAGGTTTACATAGAAACATGAATGCAAAGATCTTCGTTCAATATCGAACCAGCTGCCTTAGAAAATGTTCAATTAAACGCATGTTTCCCTATCTGGGTCAAAAACAGGATGATGTAGTTCCTGCTCGCAGAAAGATATTTCGTTTTGGTACCCACTGTTGAATGCTAGAATCAACGCTCTTCCAACGACAAGAAGCATTTTATCATCGTCTGTCATTTCTATCACCGATGTAAAATCGTCCGTTTCAGCTTCTGGATCAGCACCTGCGCTCAATAAAACCAGTGCGCAGTTGAAATTTCCGTGATAAACAGCGTCGTGAAGAGGTGTCCATCCTGAGCCATCCCGCGCGTTCACGTTTGCTCCGAGGTCAATTAACAGTTGCAGACATTCGTGACTGCCTTCGATAGCCGCTCGATGAAGCGGTGTGAGCCCATTGCATCCAACGCGATTAAAGTCGACTTTTTTTGATTTTATCAAGTGGCAAGTTTCAACGAAATCGTCGTTTTTGATTGCAATGTCTAAGAGAACGTCCGCCGGGAAAGTCACACACTTTTCCACCCGTCTTTTTAGCGCAGAACGCGGGAATGTACTCTCACTTTTTCTGCTGATATTCCACGTTGATGATCGTTTAATTGTCCGTTTTCGCGGCGGGTCCGACACGGCACGAGTGCGCCGTGGCATAAAGGGAGAACGGTTCAAGGCTGCGAATTCTTCTTTCGTTAGCGCTGTGGTCGCGCGCCTATTAAATGATTGCGGTGAAAATTCGTCCACGGACGCGAAGCCGCTTGAAAGTGATTCGTTCGTCTGTACAGACTCCATAGAAGTGCTCTCAGGAGATTTGTCCAATTCAGAAAAGCCGGACTCACTTTCGCTGAATCTACTACAGTCAGAAATGTTTGACAGGCTTGAAAGCCTTGAATCGGCCTCTCTCAATCCGAGAAAGCTTGCTATGGAACGCTTGTTCCAAAACTGAGAAAATGGCACTGGAGGTCCCTTTTTTTTGGGGCTTTTCAAGTCTAATGTCTTAGCGGCTTTTTGCCGGGCCTTTTCGGACAATTCTTCAAACTGTAATCTCTCTTTGGCTATTTTTGCTTTCCCCGCTCTAGCCATCATCTGAACAAGCATCAAAGTCATTTCTTCATCCTTGGAGCAGTCTAGAGGAATATTTCCCCTAGCGGATACCGAACACGTATCCGCTCCTCGCTGAAATAACAGCTCTGCTAATAACTTGTCTCCAATCTCTGCCGCTATGTGGAGAGGAGTTCGCCCCTGTCTATCTTTTGCATTTACGTTTACCCCTCTCTCGAGAAGAATCGACACCAGAATTAAATTGCCCTCTTGAGATGCTCTATGTAATGCTAGCATCATGTGACAAGTGTATCAATCACACTTTTCGTCACCACAGCAGATAAAAAAAGGCTCACGTTTTTTTTCCCAAGATCTTTGCTTTGTCAGTTTTGAATCTGATCTCCTCCGCCTTAGGGGATTTTGTTTTCAAAACCGCCTGTTTCTGGTTTGCAGCTCGACCGTAGCTTGTCCTTTGTCTGTGCCAGGCAGTTCATGGACACTATATACGTTGACGACCGGAGATGACTTATTATGATAAACAAACACCTAGACTATATTGTTATGGTATTAGTCCACTGACGCAAATCCCTGGAGTCATTCGTAATCACCAATTCAGTATAAAAATTCAGTTCCTGGCTAAAGTTAAACACCGTTTATTGAAAAGGTTTGAATCACGGAAAGCTTATTGAGAAATTAATAGTGCGGTTTTCTTTCCTTGAGTCAAGACCAGTTTCGACATGACACCCTTAACGCGAAAAAGTGTTTGGAAATTAAGTAGAACTCCACCTTTTGATCAAAGTGAATTAATATGTGTGCTTGTTAGTGTAATTGGTATTATGTTTGGTTCAAGAGAACATCGCTAAAACCGACTTCCTCTTTTATCTAAGTGATACCTTGAATATACACTTAATTTCATAAAGCTGATCACCATGGTTGGTAAGATTTTATTCCAGAAAAATAGCGAGATAGCTCCAGAAATCACATCCATTTCGATTGCTACTTATATGCAAATTTGCTAAAGCTTCGAGAAGTAAACTTTTGTTTTTCGCCCACAGTATTTTTATTGTGGGGCTTTTTCAACTTACCGACCTTTTTATCTCGACTATTACAAAAAATCTCTTTATGTTTTCCGCTGTTTTCAAATATGAACAAAAGCTTATACAGAAGTACGATTATCGTCGGGTCTAGCCTAATGAACAGTCCTAGAATTTTCCTGGCGCGACAACTTGTACTTATATCCTTCCTGTTTCGCCCACTTGTCTGTTGGTTCTTTTGCTTGTACCGTTTGAAATGTCACAGTTTATAGCGACGGTCTTAACAACATAAAGAATTATTTTCCCTGCCCACACAATATACAACTGCCAAGTTATCTTAAGAATGTCGAAAAGAGTTTTCGTGTTCACCAACTCGGATTAGATTTACTCCAAAGACTGCACAAAATATATTCTGTCAAATTTACCGTTATGTTACCATGCTCTTAATCTTCGATAAATTATCGCTAAGTTGGTAACGATATATTCCAATTAATTATATTACACGAGGAGGCGATCTCTTTCTAGACTATTCAACCCTTTCTAAATCCTCTTAACCCTTTTGAAAACACTTGAAAAGCACTTTGAACGTTCCATTATCGATATAAAAAAATCCATCCATGATAAAGACACAAAAAACCTGCAGAAAAAAAAGCATGCACGTGCAAATAGTAGGTTACATAACAACACCCGATTTTGGAAATCACGTGCGCCACGTGCGACAACAAAAAAAATTACAAAGGAGGGAGAGAAAGGTGAAAGTTGTAATTTGTAATTTAACAACGAAAGAGATTTTCGACACTTATTTTGTTCTAAAACAGTTTTTTGAGAAACTGTCTGATGCCTCTTATTTTTATTATTCTGTTAAACAGAATTCAAGAATACAAGTATTCCCTGCAACTCCAGCAGAGGGATGATAATCACTAACTTGTTAGGGCGCTTTTCGATTGGTTGTCGTAAAAACAAAACCAAATTAAATTTATCACAACGACCAATCAGATGAAACGAATATAATCTTAAGAACCAATGAGAACTCAAAGTAAAGCTAAGCAAAAGGTAAAGTTGAATTGCATACGAATTTGAAAGTAGATTCGACAGGTAAATTAAGAGACAAATTTTCGATGTGTAATCACAATACTCATCTGAGTTGTTTTAATTTGTGAGATATACTATTCATTGTATTCACACGAGAGTTTCTTTGTCATAATTTGGATTTTGTCCAGTTCTGTCTGTGGCCATTGCTCTACCAACCACTAAAATCATTTCCTCGTCCTCCGCCATTTCTATGGGCTTCAGAAAATCCTTCGTCTCCGCCTCTACGTTTGCGCCCGAGATAAGAAGAATAACCACACAGCGGATATGCCCATGGAAAACAGAATCGTGAAGTGGAGTCCAGCCTTGAAAATCAGTGACATTCACGTCTGCGCCTCGAGAGAGAAGAAAGTTCAGACAGCGGTAGCTTCCATCGATTGCTGCACGGTGCATCATGGTTATGCCCAGATCATCCGGTTCATTCAGGTCCAGGTCCCTATCATTGTCGATTAGGCTGCTTAGCTCTAAGACGTCATTACGAGCTATTGATGAATGAAGTAGCGACCGACTTGAAAACGAGACTGCGCGATGTCGAGGCTTTTCTTGTTTCATGATTTCGATGTCTTTGTTGTTAGATGTTACCGTAATAAAATTCTTTCTTTGAAGCGGCTCAGACGAAGGTGTATTAATTGGGTAACCCTGTGCGTTGAAAAATGTAAGATTTTTCCTGAACTTTATAGCAGAAAAAATCATGGAACCACTACCACTGCGGGATCTTTTTACTATGTGGTCTTTCTCCACACAAGGCGCATTTCCAGGGTCTCCCTCGTTTTTGTCGCCACTGAAAACGCGTCTCGACTGCAATTTGAGGCTTGAAAACCAGCTGTCGTTTTCATTTCTCGCCATCTTTGCCAAGCCTTCCTTTCCATCGTTTTTGTCCTTTTTGATACGAACCAGGGAGAATGTAGACGATACACTGCCACTTCTCTCCCTAACGCGGAGGAAATGAGATGTTGTTGATAAAGAACTTTCGTTTTCACTCAAACTTTTCGAGTGAATCGCATAAAGTCGTTTGACTCTAATTTTATCCGAGGCCATTCTGAATTTCTCGTACTTTGAAGAGAGCTCTGTGGCTCAGTCCTTCCAGTTTCTGATGACGTAATTCTACGCTGAAGACTGGCGAAAATCTGCAAATGAAACTAGCCTTCAACAGAACTGAAGTTGTTTCAAAGAACTGTCACAGTCTCGGTATTATTTTTCAGTCTTCAAAGTTCTTTTGCCTTTTTGCCGGTAAAACGAAATAAAAACCTGGGAAAACAACCTCAGAATAGAGATTCAAGGGATTTTGTGAAACAATTGTCAATCCTCAGCTGTCCAATGGTATGGATGGCTCATTGTCCTTTTAATTATAGGGTCTTACCCTAAAAAATGTTGTTAAGTTTTTTCCTTTTATCAGACTGAGCTTTCATACTAAGTGCGATTGAAGATTCTGACTCCAAATAGTGCAATACGCTGGCTTTTCTCCAGCATGATTTTAAGCTTGTTACCTCTTGAATACAAATCTTTTTATAGCTGGATAAACTTAATGGAGTTTTCGAAACTCCATTGAGAGCGTAATGACCATAGAATTGCTAATTTTTTTGTAATTATTTTGATGCATATTGTTGAGTTTTGTTTACTCAATGATCAAACATTTACTCTTCCGGTGGGGTCGATTGTTCACTTAATGTTAAAACGCGCAGGACACTTCAATTACTTGATTATCTAAAACTCCTTGAGTAAAGAAATAAAACTGGACGCTGCTCCAGTTTCACAAAGGTCGAGTAATCGAAATCTTTCAGTAACCTTTTGTGCAATTGTGTAAGGGGTGATTATGAATAAATCTGACACCGACTCTTAAATCAGTCGATCAAACGAAGTTGATTAAAATTAGACTTAGGTTGAACGAATGGTAAAATCTGAGGTTTGCAAGGAGTTGTAAACCTTGTATGAAAACACGACACCGGGCTTCGTGTACTGCCTGCCCAGATTAAACAATTTAGTGGTAGGATTCCTAGCCCGGCAAGCCCTGATTAGCGTAAGGCCAGAGCGTTTCTTCGCACTCCAGAAACTTTTAAGCGTTAAGCAGAGAGAGTCAGCTCGCTTTGGGGGTGAAGGAGGCTAACGAAACTTTAGAAGTCCTAACGTTTTGGTTCGGTGAAATTTTTGGGGTCAGGGAGGGGAGGGTAAATCTCCTGGAGTAACCCCTAAGTCATGCCGCGCCCGAACCTGGAAACAAGTTTTCAGTCTCCGCGCTAAAATTTTGGTTGGTAACGAATCAAGCTCAAAAGGGCTGCTTTATTGATTTATTGTCGATCGCTGTTCGCGGTTGTTTTGGTGTAAAACTATGAATGACGACGAAGGAATCGACTTTCGTAAACTTGAAAAGGAGCTTGCTTTAGCTGTGGAAGCGGACGAAAAATATCTTCGTGAGAACGATGCGAAATTTCGAGCTGTGAACCAGAGAGTTGGTAGCTATGAAGAGTTTCGAGACATTGTCAGCGCAGCTCATTTGAAACCTTTGGAGAGAAAAGATATTACAGGTTTGTGAAGGGGGACTAGTTTAAGTATGTCCCTCAATACTGGATAAGATCAAGTGATGGGAAAAATTCCCATATTTATTTTGTATATATTTTTTTCCTTTTGTTTAAAACTGACTTGCAGTTTAGTTGGGCGAGATTGACTCCTAGGTCTCAGAGTATTTGCTTCTATGAAGAACCTCTGAGATTCACAAAAACGTTAAACTGTGTAATTCCTTTGGGTGGCGGAGAAATTTGGCTGGGTCTCCCTGAGTCTATTGTTCCTCCATGTTTTCAGTTGTCACAACAGACCCAGAGCATAGCATACTGGGTACTTGCTATGGGTGTATTGGCAAGGTTACTGAACAGCACCTTTAATTTCAGGGGAACCAACTAAGGCCATATACATGCACCCATCATTGGTTTGCCCCAGGATGGGGAGGTGGAAAACCCCAGGGGTATTAAACATTTTCAGGTTTTCAAAAGTCATTTTTTCCACATCTGGGTGTCCATTATGTGTCAAAATTCTGACCCTGGGGACCATATACAGTACAAATTTCAACAGAAAAATTTTGTCTCCAATTTCACGTGAAAATTATGTTAAATTACACTTCAACAGGTGAAAATACACGCAAACAACCCTGGAATCCACATGCTCAAGGCAAGTCACAGACAGTGATAGCAACACCAACAGCACAAAGTGCCACATTGTCTACTTCATCAAAAAATCCTAAAACTGCTCATGAATTCACCAAAATTTGGAAACGTTACTGCAAAACAGAAGAGGAAAAATACCAACTTTTGTTAAAACTTGGAGGCAATGAGCTCAGAACAATTTTCAAGGGAGAGATAAGTATGGGGCTATTAGGAGAATTTCTCCTGATTCTTAACAATTGTCTGAACGAAAAGGACTCTAGTGATATTTTTAACATCCTAACAGGACTTTCTAAGACAAACAGATTTGATCTTTCTCTAAAGTTTCTTGGGAAGGAGGAAAAAAATGCAGCATCTAGTCTCATCAAAAGACTGGAAGATGTGATCTCCAGTAGAGAAACTTTGGACAAAGAAGGTGAAGAAGAAAGGAGAAAAGACTCAAGAATACTTTTAGAGCTGAGTGAAATATATGGCATTACCATGGCAAGTTGATCAGCAGCATTCACTTTCAAAGCTCTATAAACTAAGACTCCTCCCTGTAACTGGAGGCACATTAAAAGTCTCTATTCACCATAAGGTTATTTAATGTTTGTTCATGGAACTTGAAATAAGACATATTTTTTGTAACACTTTGCAGAAAAAAACTGAGGGTGCTTCCAATCAGTAAATGCTGAATTCTGCACAACTTTAGCCCAATGTCTCAATCAGAGTTATGCTTCTGCTGTGCTATAGTCTAACCTAAATTTGTAATTGCAATTAAGTTTGGCATGCTGGAAGCACAATGTCTGAACTGGGCTCTAAAGAAATACAGTTGAACCTGTATTGGGTGAGACAATGTTAAGTGGTTACCCTGTGCTAAGCAGTTGCAGTTGTCAGTCCCAAAATTCTGTGCAGTAAAATGCAGTTTAATGGAGTAAACATTGCTGCTGACTACTGAGAGCATTAGCACTCTATAGCAGTCAGTGGTTTTTGCATATGCGCATTCATTGGAATTCCATGTGCTCTTTGTTTGAGGTGTTCTTGCATTTGCTTTGAGTGTGAACTTGCAGCGTTGTGAGGAGTGTCAGCTCAACATCCAGGCAGTTTTCCCCACCCCTTCCCTCCCTCTTTTCACTATTTATTCAGCATGACAGGTGCCTGTTTCCCTTTTCTGTGTGGGCCCTCATAGCTGGATTGCTAGGATTTGCCAGCCATTGGAGAAGTCTCCATCTAGGAGCTGGCTGCCAATAGTGGAAGCTCCTGGATGTTTTAGGCACCCAACCTCCACTTAGCAATTGCAGTTGTTAATTCCCCTTGGTTACAGTAATTTCTTCTCCATTAAGCAGTCATGGTCACCCTTGAAGGAGAAACTTATGGCCTTAAGTTGATCCTTGTTTTTACAGGTTGGAATAGCCTGTTATGAGGCATTCTGATCAAAGTGCTGATGGACCCTTGATTTTCAATTGGTCATCAATTAATGTCCATGGATGCAAATTAATTCATTTCCTCATTTAATGATTGTTCACAGCGTAATAATTAAAAAAATCAATGTGGTAATCTTTGCTCTGATTGGAAAGCATTAAAGTAAGTTAATACCTGCCTGCATTTTACTGATGAAAATAACCAGGCTGTGGAATGGGCAAAATTCTTGTACTGCGACCACTCCTACATCCTTTTCACTGACCCACCAACACTCCTTGGTGTTGCTATCACTTGTCTCTAAAAATTCTCAGTTGAACTGGTTTCAATTTCAGTTTATGACAAGGTTGACAGGTGTTTCGTTAATTGACAATCAATTTATTGTTTAGCATTTGATTTTATCATTAACTACATGATTAACATATCAATAGCATAATTGCTAAGTAAGTCGATCTTCAGTTAAAAGGAATGACACGTTCTCTTGAAAGTGTTCTGAATTTAGTGTTTTTCTGCTCAATCTGCTGACCCACTTTGCTGAACTGATACATATACTGGAATAGTTTTGATTGGATATCACTACAGAGTTAAGTAAATTTGTTTTGTGACCAGTTCAATTTTAAGAATTTTAATTTCATTTTTCCTTCAAGAATTGCTCCTCCTTCGATTTCTAATGAATCATGTATTATTTCTCATAGATTGCATAACTTAAGGATTATACTATTCTGTGTCCAGTCATCATGCTTTTGAGAACCATTTTTCCCTGGACTATTAGGTATGAATTTAAAGTGTTGCATAATGGGTAAAGAATTGCCAAGATGCCTTCAAATTTAATCAAGGTAGAACCACCAGACATTGCAATACCAGCTGATACAATTTTGATCTCTGTAGTATCAATTATGTATGGCACGTTTTGGCCATTTGTGGAAGTTATCAAAGAATGTAGTTACATCTCTAGCTCACCGACTTCAAAGCAAGATAAGACTCAAGTTCTCACATGAATTTTAACTTTATTCACTGCATTGCAAATCTACCTACAGACAAATGAAACAAATTACTACTACTTTGTTTCAACAAATAAGCCATCATTGAAGGGAAAATACATGTTTTTTTATTACTCAATAGCTAAGAAATAAGTGATGTTTGATGACAGCAATATCTAACTGAATCAATATTTTACTATGAAAATAAATTCGATATAAATTCAATTCCCATTTTGAATCTTTTCAGCTATTGCCCCTTAATTGATCAAAAATCTGCAGCTTAATATTTTTGCTAGATAGTGAATAACTGCATTGTTACATTCAAAGAATGCTAACAAAGAAAATTGTTTGAATGTTGTCCTTCTTGCCTCAATCTTCTCAAATATGTCTGTTTTCCACATTTCTCTGGATTTCTTGACAGCCGTATTGTGTTTATTATCTTACAATAGCCTTCAAAATTTGAATCAACCTCTCAGTCATGAATACATACTCTAGTTCCTCCTTAGCTAAACACTTATCAGAAAAATGCTGGCTGAACTTACAGTTCTTGGCAATGTATTACATTACAATACCCTTACATTAATATTTTTCAGAAAATTATTACATCCTTCTTCCTAAAGAGTATGTACAACTCATAATAATCTTATTACCAACTAAATGTTATGTTAAGACCAAAGCTTTTACACAACATTACCACAAATTATGTTAGATCTGAGATCTCTGGAAAAAAGAGAAAGTCCTTTTCCAAATCATAAGTTTTGACTCACAATAAGAATTGTGCCACTGCAGCAAATACTGACTACAATTTTACAATTTCCTCTTACAAGTATAAATAATTTAAATGAAGGTGTTAGATAACTCTGGAGAACCCTGATTGCTAGGTTTCCAAAACAATTGCCACTCTTTGTTTCTAGGGTGCTAATTTCTACTTTCATTCAAAGAGAAATGCACCTAATTTCATATGAATCATCAGTTGTGTACTCTGCCTCATATGGATAAAGTAATCATTTGCCACCAAGAAATGAGAATCCAAATGCTTCTTTAACTTATTTCTAAATTGAATCCACAGGGCAACAAAGGTCAACAGTTCAAAAAATATGTAACCAACTTCTGGAAGTGATACTTGCCAACAGCTTAAATAATCTGAATTACAAATTTCAACCATGTCCCTAACTTACACACCTTATGAAGCAATTTCAATAAAATGTACAAGTGTTACCATGAAGAGTGTAATATTTGGGCATTTTCTGTAAAGTGCTTGCTGTTTCCATGGCAAATGCAGCTTTACTATTTACAGAAAATTGACTTCTAACAGATGCATTTTGTATTACTTCGGGTCAGAAGTGTACAAGATTTTCAAGAAAAAGCCTGTTAATTTTCAAAGTCTTTTTTGGCAGACCTCATGATCACGCATACTTTTTCTTTGAATAAAAATACCTAACATAAAGCTGCAATTGAACAAAGAAACCTTTTTTATGGGTACTGGAACCATGTAAATTTCTTGAAATATCTGTGTGGCAATTAAATAAATGCTTTCAAGCTCACACAAATCTGTATTAGGCCACCTTAGTAATAATAGTAATATTGGAACTTGGCCCTGAGAGGGTCCATCATGTAAGGAAATTATCCATATGAAAACATGGTGTTTTCACAGAAGAATGACTAATATAAGTATTTATAGCTTGATCACCATTAGCAGTATGTTACAAGTACATGCCATTGATTAGATAATCAGCATCATCTGTTGCAAATGGCCGCCTTTTTAATCTGCTTTTGACAATTCTTAAACGAAGGGCCACAACAAACAGCAATAAAATTGCAATCACGAGGAATATTGCTAGTGGAAGCACTGCCTTGTTCTCAATGATCCTTAGCCTGTGTGTTTCAATTACCACCACATCAGAGATGTTCTTGCTCTGGATTGGCACTTCAATCAAGGGACGCTCGTCCTGTTGCTGTTTGGGTTCTAAGCATGAGGAAAAAGAAATTAATTAAGAGAAACTCTTGCACATATATCAACATTAAGGTTTAGACCTTGACAAAAGCTCTAGGAAAAGAGAGGGATGGAACTGGAAGCAAGGAAATGAAAGAACAAGGTGGCTAAAAGAGATTTTTAGGGGTTAACTATAAGCAGAGGAAGGAATCAAGGGTGGGGTCAGGAAGACTATGAGCTTAGAAGAGCAGAAAGAACAGAGAAGAGGACTGAAAAGTTGGAGAGAGAGGGGACAAGAAGGGGAGAGAAAAAAGAACAAAAGAGAGGATAAAAGAGACTAGAAGTATGAGAGGGTCTGAGGGAAGAAATAAGGGAAGAGGGAACTTTAAGAACTTTATGAAAGTTTAAGTGGAGTAGATTGTGAGGGAGAAAATGGGAGAGGGTGAAAGGAATGGAGTAGGAAAGGGGTTGAGACAGGAAGGTGTGTGGAAAGGAGAGAGTTGTGAAAAAAGGAGGAACAGTGTGGATAAAGGGAAAAGGAGGGGTAAATATTGGAATCAATTCCATACCATGAACTCTTGCTTTTTCTGTCATTATTATAGGTTCTGTTGGCTTGGGTGGTTCTGTCTCTGGTTCTATTGGTTCCTGCCAAGGTTTGGGTACTTGGGTTTGTATCGGTTTCTCCACAGGTTTTAGTGAAGGTACCTCTACTGGTTTCTTCTGTACAGGTACCTCTATTGGTTTCTTCTGTACAGGTACCTCTATTGGTTTCTTCTGTACAGGTACCTTCTGTACAGTTTCCTCTACTGGCCTCTGCACTGGTACCTGTACTGGCCTCTGCTCCGGTACCTGTACTGGCTTTTGCACAGGCACCTCCACTGGTCTCTGCACAGGTACATCAACTTGTTTTTGTGCAGGAATCTCTACAGGCTTTTTCTGCACTGGTTTTTCAACAGGTTTTTCTGTCTGCTTCTCCACTGCTTGTTCTAATGGATGTTCTACTTTGCTTGGAATTGTATATGGAAAATTTGGGTTATTGTCAACAAATTGCCTCCACTGGTGAAAGGTGGGTTTAACAGTTGTGGGCACAGCCTTCGGGTCACCACCAGAAGGCTGATATTGTTGAGTGTCTGTTTTTGGCATAAGTTCCTCTAGTTTTCTCTCAAGTTCCCTATCCACGTCATCAGTATCGTGCGTTGTTGTCTTCTCTTCAGTTGGTTCCTTAGCCACTTCTTTCACAGGGTTTCCAGGTCTTACAGGTCCTTTCATGTTTACATGCTGGTGTTTTGTTGGGAAATCAGGATGATTTGAGGTAACTTGGTGATAAGGCTTTTGAGATTCTTGAGAATTTTCTGAGTATTCATCTTTATCTAGAACTGGCCTTGACGGTTTTTTCGCTGACAATGATTCATGTGTGTTCTTGCTATGATACCTATCTTTTCCAAAAGGTTGTTTTGAATGCACAGTGCTCCCTTCATAGGATTTCTGTTTCCAAGGACTCATTAAATCTTCTTCCTCTTCATATTTGTCTTGTTCATCAGTCATGTACTGTCTTGAAGGTGGTTTGTATTGTGACGATCCTTGAACTCTGTCTTTTGTATTACCTAGTGGATAAATCAAGGAAAAATTAACATTTAACCCAACATCCCCTAACAGAAACAGACTTATAATCTCCCCTTACAGTATCACCTCTAAATCAAATATAAAGGCCCCGAGAATAAAGGAAATGATCACCAACTCCAGAAGTTTCTAGTTGTCAAACAAATTTTTCTTGTCAATATCACAAGGAAAATAAAGAGAACAGAGCAGAGAATGTGAATTTTAGGATGTAAAAGGTAAAAAAAAAAAAAAAAAAACCCAGCCAACAATTTGCTGATTCTACAGGAACAGGAGACCACCTATTTGGTAAGGTTACAAAGCATAAATTGATTATCTGTATAAAACTTGGTTATTTCCAGGAGCTATGTGTGAGAGGGCTCAAGAAGATAAAGAATAGCATACTGAACTACAAAATAACTATTGGCTGCATAATTCTTATGAGCACACAATTATGTGGAAAAAATTTTTGTGGACAAAATCTCATTCCAATGCCTTAACCATATCTGCCATTTCAGGAATCAAAAGCTAGGATTTTCAGTACTTTTGTACCACTTAGAAGGTCTTACAGGGCCTTTTACCGCTGTCACGTATTTTATATGTGAAAAAGTACAATTAATCTGCAGCAGAAATGTGCAGAAAGACAAAATTGCAACTCCTTTAGCTGACTTCACAGAGACAGTTTGAATAGTCCGAATTGCCAGGATTGGAGAGAGTTTTGAGCAAAAATTGACGCTTAACTACTACAAAGAAATAAATCTTAGAAAAACAGCCTTGAAATCAATTTTCGCTAAAAATAAATCAACAGAAAGAGCACAAAAAACAAAGATAAATAAAGATTCTCGGTTACTAGTGCGAACTATATTCAAGCACTCTCACCAAGGAGATCTGCAGGTGTTTAGAAATACGAAAATTAGGACAAAATATTATATTTATATTTTTGAACATTTCAAAGTGTGATGTTTCTGTTGACCCTTCACTCATCTCGAGTGAAATAATAAGGAACTTAAGGACCAGGATTAAACCTGATATCAAAATTATAGAATGGAACGAGGAAATACCCCTGCGAATTAAGAATACGTGTCCCTTGTACACGACTGTGAGAAATGTTTCCATTTGTGGAGAGACTGTACGAATAATCAGATAATAGTAATGATTTTGCTATCGCAATTTCAAGTAACTGATGCTAGAAAACAATTAAGCGATTTACATAACATACGACATAAAAACCACAAATCCTACCTTCGCGAACAGAAGGTTTAATTTCTTTCGCGGTGCCCAATTTTGCTTCCCCAGTTTTAACAGATGAAGGTCCAAACTGATTGCCGTCTATATAAGATAGTTCTTCACTTGGTCTGTCGTAAGATATCGTAGCGTAGTGATCGTGTTTTCCAAAGAGACATTTACTGGGCTTTCCGCAGTGGAACATAAAACAAACCTTCTGTAATTCCGAGAAGAATCCATCCGTATAATTTTTGTATTGCATTTGCGCGAGATCGCAGTTCTTTCGTTCGCAACACAACTTGTAACACTCTCGAGCATCGCGAACTTCATAATGTTTCAAAAACGAGGCACCATTGTCCACAGATGCTTTGGCCTCAATGATCTGTCCCTTATTCACGTGAATATTGTACGGACATCTGAAGTCATCATCACAAGAACAGACTTCGAAGAGGAAAGCCAATATGATGCCGTGAAGAAAAATCGAACGGAATCCTTTCAAATGCATCTTGTTAGAGCAAAAAGGTTTTTCCGTCGACGAAACAACCTACTACAATGTTTTTCCTCTGATTGTAGGCTCCAATATTAAGTCGATTTTACGCTCAAGACAACGACAGCGTAGGCAATATGGACGCCGGGTAAATTAGCTGGCGTTCGTAAAATGATCCTTGCCCCTGGGAACAAGTGACGTCAGTGGAGCGCCAAGAGAATGCGCATGCGTGTTTGGGATATAAATGATAAGGTCAAACACACTTCACCTCAGTTAGTCACGCGATTTGTCTTCGACATGGCCGACGAGCTAGCAAATTTCATAACCCTCGCTTCACCCGTGATCGACGGTAAAGCCAAAGATCTTCAAGCCTTGAGCTTGAAGATTTGGGAAAAACCAGAGCTTGGCTACGAAGAACATTTTGCCCATGGTATTCTGTGCGACTTTTTTGAGGAACAAGGTTTCGAGGTAACAAGGAGTTACACTTTGCCAACAGCTTATCGGGCGGTGTTTGGAGCTGAGAACGAAGGTCCGACGGTTGCCGTGCTTTCTGAATACGATGCATTACCTGGGGTCGGACATGGATGTGGGCATAATCTCATAGCCATAGCGGGTAACTACGAACTCAGAGTTTTGCCGAAATTACCTAATAATTACTTATTTAACAGCATAATTAACTAGATCTTCACCTTTTTCTATTATCAGACTTCACACCCGATAACAAACGGTATTACCTCCAAAGAAAAAGCAAAATGTAACTTGATTGACCCACTGAACTGGCATGTTTTCAATTTCCACCCTGGGAATTGCTCTGTAGTCATTATTTAGCTCAAAGCTAGAGAAGGGGCAAATATATGGCAATCAGCCCATCATGAGAGATGATTTTCAGTCTCTATGACTGGCTCTGGCCATCACTGAACTTGGTTGGTTCTGCAGTTCCTGGGATTACACCTGCCTCAGGAAGTGGGGGGGGGGGGGGGGGGGGGGGGGGGGGGGGGGGGGAGATATAGGAGAGAGAGGAGGAGGAGAGAGGTAGTCAGTACCCTCTACTTCATCCATTCAATTAGGTTGAACTTGTACTCAGGACAAGAAAGAGTAAAAATAAAGTAAAGATTGTGCTTGTTGTTTTGAAACTAATTGATACTAAGTCTTGTAGACTATACTCAATACATGACCAGGGCATCTGTGACTTTGTTTTAAGGTAACTGGAAACAGTTCTCCATGAACAGTATGAAGTCACAGCAGTTAAATTAACTGTAATCTTAGCAGCATCAGAATTTTAAACTGGCTAAATTTAATTTGTTCAAATTTACTCAGATGTGAAGTCTTATCTCAAAAGAGAAAATTCTGAAGTTTTGGGAAAATCTATTGAGGAATTTCCCAAGATGGTCCCCAAAAATAAAAAACTGGACTTTCATGGGACGTTAGCATAATGATAATGATTGTCATTTCAATTGTTTGGTGGACATAAGCATGACATTGGTTTGACTGTGAAGAGGGAAAGATGGTATTTGAGCACTTTGAATGTAGTTGGTTTGCATCTCATCCCAGATACCTGTTCCCAGCCACCTTAAGAGTTCTACATTAACTGTTTCTTTATTAACCCCAGGGGTAGGGGCAGCACTGGGGATAAAAGCAGCTATCGAGGGTGGACTCAACGCTAAGCTTATTGCCATGGGAACCCCTGCTGAGGAAGGAGGTGGTGGAAAAGTGCAGATGGTTAGTAGCGGTTGTTTCAAAGATGTAGATTTTTCCATCATGGTACATCCTGCACCTTTTAATATGGCATTCTACGTGAGCCAAGCTCTTGAGAAAGCTGAAATTGTCTACAAAGGGAAGGCAGCTCATGCAGCAGCCTTCCCATGGGAAGGACGCAATGCTCTTGATGCTGCAGTCATGGCGTACAACTCTATAAGCCTGCTCAGGCAACAGATGAAACCAACATGGCGAGTACATGGCATTATAAGTGAGGGAGGAGTTAAGCCTAATATCATCCCAGAGCAAACTAAGCTTGAATTCTGGGTGCGAACTGTGAAGAATAAAGAATGTGCAGTCCTCAAATCTAAGGTGAATGCTTGCTTTGAAGCAGCTGCAAAAGCAACTGATTGCACGGTAGAGATAACATGGGATCCCATTCCTCATGCAGGAGTGCTCACCAACAGCAAGCTGGCCTATTTGTATCAAAAGTATGCTGGGCAAATGGGTGTGGTCTTTCCATCAAGAGAAGAACAAGAAAGTATTGTGGATGGATCAACAGATTTTGGAAATGTGTCCATGGTAGTTCCTGGTCTGCATGCTCAGTTCTGTATTGACAGCTCAGTGCCATTTCATTCCCATGTCTTCCGAGCTGCTGCAGGCACACAGTACGCTCATGATCAAACTATTATTGCTGCCAAATCTCTTTGTTTTACTGCAATTGAGGTGTTGCATGATCCATCACTACTGAAAGAAATGAAAGATGAATTTTTACAAGCAGTCAAAGATGCTTAGATCACATTCTATTTTCAATTAGCTACTTTTGT